CTTTGTATTCAAGGATTTAAAGACATATTACAAGTGTCTTCCCATCTTGCTGATAGGTAAACCGAGGCACTCAGCGACTGAACCCAATGTTTTCAGGAATAGCTGGTAAAATCTGAGCAGGGCGCATAGTTTTGCACAGATCATTCCCCATGTGGGATGCCAGCTGAGCCGAGGGGATGGTGTTGCGAGTGCTTGGAGACCTTCCCTCCACTGGAGAGACAGCAGGACCACTGCTGCTCGCAAAGTGGATTTTTGTTTGTGGTTTGGTTTTCTATTTTAATCATCTCCTTGGGGGAAAATATGAGTGTAGTGAAGTGTCTTGCTTTGGTAGGATGGGATTTTTTCTTTGTTTGCTCCACACGCACACTTACAGTGTTGATGGTACTTTGTGTTTATCTTAAGGACAGCATGATGGAAGGAATGTGTGTTGCCTACATCGATTCGCTCACCCATATAAACATTTTCGGGAGGAAAGTCTGTATTTGTGTTTCTGTGTTTTGAGATACTCAACTTTTCGACTATTAATGAGAAATTTTCACAGGTGGCAACAGCTGTCTCTGCTGCTCATTTTAACTTCAGTGGTACATTACCCGAATTTTTGAAAGTCAGGTAGCATATAGCGAGACTTAGACAACCAGCAATGAAAGCAGCCCAGATTTCAGTCAGGGAGGAGTTTGAGAGAAGACCTGAAGTCCTCCTTGGCCCTCCATGTGTGTTGCCCTTGGCAGACCATGTTGTTCTCCCACCAGCTCACGGTGGGCCAGTGTTAGCGGGTTTCCGTGGAACGTGTTCAGTTCGTATATGACAAATGCATTTAGAAAACGTTACCTGCCTTTTACAGCACTGCCGAAAGAGACATTATACGCACATTTTATGCAAACATGTAATTTTCAGCAGTTTCCTTAAAAAGTACATTTTAAGATGGTTCATTTGCTATCATGAAGACTCAGGGTAGAAATGAAGTCTGCTTGCAAAATACTGCCAAAATAAGGATCTGACTGCCAAATACCCAGAAAATTTATAAAACAGATAAATACGAAAAGAGGTTTAAAGTGTCAAATCCAAGATAACCCCAGCAGCAAAGCAGGATAAAAGCCTTTATTGTTGCTAATCTAAGAGCACATCGTATGTCAAAGGTCACGTATTTTACATAAAAGATGTATTGTTTTACATACTCGCAGGAAGGTGAGACCTGACCTATTATGATGGAGTAGTGTTACGTCCTTTACAGTGTGGAATCAGGAATGTCTTATACATGTACCCCAGCGAAGCACACAGGGCTTCCTATATGGCAAACATGTACAAATTTTGGCCCCTCATCTTCCGGTACCTCGTTCCAAGAACTGTGAAAAGATTCTCACTCAAAACATAAAAAATAAAGTAAGATAAAAATGTCAGTGAGCAACAGATAAAACAAATATTCATTTCGTCTCAAGGTAACCTTTTTTTTTTTCCCTGGCTAAAAATAATCGGGTTTCAATGGTAAAGAAGTAGTGCCTCATTCTCATTGTGAAAACATTTTTCCTTCCAGAATAAATGGCATATGAGTACGTTTTCTTTTGAAAGAACTTAATGAAGATTGTGATTTTTCCCAGAGGTTGATATTTTTCTACTTCAATAAAAAGCTTCACTTACTGATGTAAATAGCATAACTTACCATTTGATGAGTTTCACAAACACCCCCAAAACTCCACATCACTGTGTGAATTTTATGAAATGGAGTTTCACGTAGCTCTGTCTTACACATCCACATGTCACTGACTTTCCGTTTCGTATGATGTCATCTGTATCACCAGATTAGTGCATATTTCTTTGTGTCTTTATTACGAATTATTCTGCACCCCTGCAGCAGGAGACCAACATTTCAGTGAAATTATGTTATAATTTTACTCTATTAAGGTATTTGGTCAATTGATGTGGAATTAATTCTGAATGCTGTTAGTGGTTCGAGTTAGTAACTTGATCTAAATTAATAAACAAATGTTTTTCTTTTCTCTTGTACCATATGTTGATCCCAATTACATGAACAGAAAGTGGCAGATTGTCATGTTTCTTAAAAGATTACATACTCTTTTGCATAAGAGAGAGTACACAAGATGCAGTAATATACAGGGTAAAAAAAACCCTACACGTGCTGTTTTCTCCCTCCTACTTTTTATAAAGATACATTTTAATTATTTCTCTTTTTAATACCCACTGCTCTTACCACCTCGGCATACTTGGTGTGCTCTTGGTAATGCTTAACGAGATGATATCCCAAGACAGTAAACAACTTTTTGCATTAAGCATGGAAGATGCAGTTAGTTTTAAAATCTCATCTAGGACTGTGTCTCTATGGAAAAGGATGAAAAAAAAAAAAAAATAGGATCCAGAAGCTAAAATAGCAGTGGTTACAAATGGTCTTAAAATGCCTTAAGTAAGGAGAAGCCATTCAGACAATAGTCAGATTCCTGAAACAAAGGACTGAACTCATCTATTATTCAAACTGAAAATAGATTGATAGACATCAAGATTAAGAAAGTTTATGCTAGAGAACAAAGATGTCTCATCTCCATGGGGTTTTTTTTCTTCTTTTTTTTTTTTTCTCCCAAAGACCAAGTTGTTCGTGCTGAACTGAAGAGCCTCACACTGGCTGGTACTGATAAGCAGCAGTCCTGTGGCTTGCTTGTTTTTATTAACTCTCTGAAAGTCATTCACCATTAAACACGATTAGATTCATTTGTTGCTTTATTTATGTTTGTACTTGCAAACGTGGTGCCAATGAAAATGCTTTGGGTGTTGTTGCTGACACTGACCCAGCAGTCACGTGTGTTACCTTCTTTCTCCGCAGGGTAAGAAGAGTGACCTTTTTGGGTGGCTGTAACTGAAGATTGCTTTACCGGAGCAACTGGAGAAGGTAAATACAAATGCTGTTTTGCACACAGTTTCTGAAGCATGTCTGAGGGAAGGATCTGATCCTGCAAACCCCAGAAACATGCCTTAGTTGCACAAGTAAAGGCTCTTCTGGCAACATGGTTAAAGATTGCAGCGTTGGGCTTGGAGCTAAGCTTTTGGAGCCATAGCTGTGCCTTAAACCTGTGTTTTGCCTGGAAGGCCAATGGTTTAGGCGTCCCGTTCCATCTTAGGAGCAAGTCCACAATGATGCACTTTTTGGCGTTAAGCCATGTTCTGAGACGGCTGTTTGGTAACAGGACAGAGCCTGTACGTGAGTGGGAAGACCCTTCTCTGGCTGGTCTTGGTGGCCACACGGCCACTGGCCCAGCATCCTTGGGTGCTGGGCTGGGGGCTGCAGTGGCACAGCCCTGCAGCAAGGTCCCCTTACCAGGCCGAATCCCTGGGGAATGGTCAAGTCAAGCTTCAGCGCTGCTTCGTCCCAGGCTGAGACGCTCCTGGATTTACAGCAGCACATCAAGCAGAGCAGGACAACAGAATTTAGCTGTTAATTTCATTGCTTGTTATCACTGCAAAAATTAAAACACATGCTTTTTAGTCTTTCGGAGCACAGCAAAAAGGAAAGAAATATCACTCTCTGCAAAATGATTTTTATTTAAAGCAATGTGAAAGTCCCTTGCTTCTAAATTAACTCCTTGCCTCTCTTCTGGTCCAAAGTTTCAAGTTGGAAAGGGATATTAACATCACAAAAGTGGTGATTCACAAAATTAACTTGCAGAAGAGAAGAGTAATGCAGATCAGTGTTTGGTACTGAAGGGTGTCATCTGACTGAGGTTCATATGGCTGCTTTATAATCACCTTCTTTCAGAAATTAATAGTCGGTTAAGCACCATAGCAACAAGCAACACTGATGTAAGCGTTGAGCAGTGGCTGCTGTTCGCTGTGATGTCAGTGCTCGTTAGTGCTGTTCTCTTGACCTTGTTTGAATATAAAATGGTGATTTCATTTTAAACTTAGAATTTTACAGAATGACTAAATGCATCGGAGTGAATTAGAGCTATTTTTATTTTTAATTTTATTAAAATGTACTTCAAGGGGAAAAAAAATGTCCCCGTTCTCTTCTGTTTTAAATTAAGATAGATCTGAAGACGATGTGGGGTTTTTTTTCAGTTCTTTGTTGCCAAAAATAGCTATTTAGTGAGGATGAAATTTATGAAGTTCAAGTGAATATTGCAATCCTTGGCCATGCCAATGGTCTGTGTCAGCTGTATGATATATACCTCTCTTCAAGATTTGAATATTAGTGGGGTTCTTTTTTATGGTGGAGCCTATGAGGTATTAGGTACATTTCAGCTATTGAAGAAGAAGCAGCAGACCCTGCAGTTTAAGAAGATGATGGTTCCTGGCCCTGCAGTGGTGTTCCCCCTTTGAGTTTTTGTGAAGAAGGGAAAAAATGCAAATCCCAGGTACATCAGAGGGCCTTAGAATTAATGGGATTCTCGTGGAGCTGTGGTTCATGCATGGCTGTGATGCTATGTGACCCAGGAAAACTAGGAATTTTATTTGTGATTAATGCAAAACACTACCTTTACACTTGTCTGAAGTTTGTAGGCCACGTCTCCAAAAGCAAACATATTTTATATTGCTACCATCAGGCCGGCATGCGTGCCAGACATACCCTCTGGTGTGTGTCCTTCAGCAGTAAACAGTTTGGGCGATTTGTAGAATATATCACTGGAAAAAACCATGAGATTTTTCAGTCTGACCACCTGAGTATTGTAGGTTAGTGAGTCTCGCCCTGCACCCCTGGGCAGAGCTGCTAAGTAGGGTTCAGCCAAACTCTGTCTTCTAGAAGCTGATCCCGGCTCAGTGGGAAGACCCTGAGGACTGGAGAGCCATGGGTCGGCTACGGTATATGCAAGCGGGGATGCACGTTCAAGCACGTGTTTTCAAACTGCACAACAACAGTCACAACTTGATGAAAAATAAGTTGTTCTGTGTGTCCTGTAATGTTAGGACTTGTTTCTGTGAGAAGGTTTGGCTCTGTCCTCCTTCCATTGCAGTGAGGGGCGCTGTTCTCGACAAAAACCTGTTTGCTGCAGGATCGGTCCCATAATCGTGCAACGTATTTCATAAAATAAAGCCATAATGAATGATATGTGGTCCAAGAAACTGGATGTCAAATTTCAACTGGGTGAGAATTGAAACTGCCTAGATAATAAACCATGAGAATAGGAGATAGTAATGGAAATAGTGATAGAGTCCTAATTAGAGCAGTGCCACTGAAACAGGGAAGGTTAAGGGTTTGGTTGATTGAGTTTGAGCTCAATTGCTTGATAGCTTAATTTCAGGTGAAATCCCATCTTCTGAGTTAGCGCTTAAGCCGCTCAGTGCAGTTACAGAGCAGGACTCTGTACTCCTTGAGGAGCGGCCGCGTGGCCCCGGGCGTCCCAGCACTGCGTGCGAGCCTGGCCTCGGGCGTGCGGAGTGGGATACAGCACAGACCTAGTAAAATAGATTTTTATACTGTGTGTTTTGTTTGCTTGCTTTTTTTTTTTTTTTTTTCTGTGAGCTCCAAAGAGCTCTGAACAGAGGCGCAAATAACAGAATAGATGTAGCGAGGGGCTTTGATGGTTAAACCTTCAGAATTAAGATGTTTACCTTCTCCTTTATTTAGCACTGTTAGGCATAATGCCTAATTATATGCCAGCTTTTCCTCAAAGTAAGAATTTAAATTGAAATGTTTGATTTGGGGAGAAGGGAGGGGAAATGTATTTTTACAGAATTATGGACAATAGTGTTAGTTTTCCAGGAGCAGTCATTTGTTTAAATGTATGTAAAAGCATTTTCAATAATCAAACACCATTCAGTGAGCATTGTAAATCAGGGATATCTTGCACGCTGAAAAATTGAAAATTACAAAACATGCTACTACAGTTGTACATTATTGATAACAAAAGACACATGCAGACTTTTAAGATAGGAAAGATATCCTTTAGAAAACCCTTAACGAAAAAAAAATCAACACAAAGGATTTAGCAAAGTTGCACTTAGTTTAAAATTTCAAATCTTAATTCTTTTCAGAGTTAAATGCTGATTAAATATTGATAATAAAACAGAAGCTGCCTGCTGTAACTCAGAACTGAATGAGATGATCAACAGATAAACGTGTGGGTTTGAGCTTTAACTTTTTTAGATATGTGTGTTTTCTCCTCCCTTCCCTTTGAGCCAGGATAAAGGTCAGAAGGACTTTTTTTCCTAAGCTCAGTACAAAAAAATGGATTGTGCAGTTTGTCTATGTGGAAAACAAAGTGGTTCTGGGACAAAAAAAAAAAAAAAATTCCCAATGGTCCCACCACTTTGTTTCATCAGGAGGACACATACCTCTCAAACCGTGTCAACATGTCACTGTGCCATGTCTTCACTGGCTGTAGCAGGAGGAGCCTCAGGTGCAAGTCGAAGCCCTGAAACGAACTTTTTCAGAGAAGTTTCTGTTTATGCGGGGCTCAACAGTGTGTGCGGTTTCTCCCCAGCACTCTTCCTTGCTAGTGACTTTCCAGAAGATGTTCTGGTGAGGTCCTTACTCCGGTTTTCTGTACCGGCTGGGTGGCAGTGATGCTTTCACATCTGTCAGTGGGAAATTAGTAATGTGCTGTTTTCCTTACTGAGTTTGGCACCTTGACTTTTCTTGGGTTTGACTTAATGGTCTTAAAGCATGTTACAGACCAGAAATAGCCATCATTACTAGAAGGTGCGGTGTGCAGCTACTTCTGAATGTGGGTCCTGTGACTTGGGTGCGTTCATAAGAAAGTCTGTAATGGAGCAGACAACCTGGTTCGTGGACATTTTCTCCAAAATTTTCTCTGCAATAGGCCCAAATTACGTAGAGCCATCCTGGAAGCATTTTGCATGGGTGCTTGTATCACCCCCAGCAGGAAATAGGGATCTGGGAGAGCCCCATTGATGCCTGCTGCTCACTTGCTGGTGGGGTGGTAGTCACATAGCTGGAGCGATTACTGCCAAGGCACATTTAAAACTGGATTCCTTTCCTTCTGGATTGTTGGGAGCGGTTGTAATATCCTACTTGTTAAGACCTTTGAGTTACTCAAATTGAAAGGTACAGTGTGGTGCAAAGTGTAATCTGTAGTAACAGAAACGACAATATTACCTGCATATTTTGGGGTAAACCCTAAAAAGGTTGTGTGTGGGCCTTTGGCAACACAAACTGCTTGAAGCCTTTACCTACTTGAATGAAAAGTTTCGTCCAGAGATGGGTGAAGCTGTGACTCTTCTGAAGCAATTGGGTCAAGAAGATGTAGAAAATAGATTAAGACATTTTGGAATAATTTAACAAGTATCTGAGCAAATCTCATTAACATGGACCACTAGCATGCTGTATTGAAGACTTCAAAGATCTGTCAGAGGAGTTCTTTCCGTGCTATTGTCTGCCAGCATTAGCAATCTCAAGAGAACATGTTTCTTTTGTTTGCTTTTGGCCCACTTAGCTTTTCTTCCTTTTTTTCTTCTTAATGTTCCTTAATATATTATAAATCTTCAAGTGGGTTGGTAGAAAAATATGTTTAACAGCTTTAAGATAGTCAGTAGCAGGTTTTGATCCTCTTATCTGATGCTTCTGGACCAAATCCTTCTGGTCTTCATGAAGACTGCAAAAGTGAGCAAGGTTTGGCCAGTATTTTGCGTAATCCTGCAGTGTTTCTTCCATTATCTTAGGTGGATGCTTGATATGATCGTCAGTAAAATGCAGGTGGTGATTTGCATTACTTGTGCGTTCGAAGTACCATCATCCGTTTTGAATCTGTGAAGAACACGAAGCACGAGGCTGAGTGGTTCGTGCACACCTCTAGATTTGGAAACCGCTAGCCTAATCTGTACCCACTCATCAAACACAGTTGCATATACTGAAAATGGCCCAACCTGTAAAGGTTGTAAGCAGTTACATTAAGCGGCCATAAAGGGTGCACTGATTTCTGTCAGTTGCTAAAA